TTTCTATACGTTCACGTTTTCCAGGAAATATGTTTATTATCCAAGGTGAATAAAATTCTTTTTATTTTTTATACATGTGATCGGTTTATAAAGAAAAGTTTCATCTGTTTCTCAACTGTTCGATTTGAAAGTGATAAAAATTTAATCACTTCGTATATTGCAAATGTTTAATACCAGTGAAATCCCGTGACAGCTGTAAGTGGATACGTATTATGAATTTTAGTATTGCGTATAGTTTTATTAGGAGTTTTTAAAAACGTCATATAGTATTGGCATTTGATTGAAATCATGTATAATCAAATGCATAACTCAGGAAATGAAATTTTTTTTATTAAAATTACTAATGACACTAAAGCTACCTATGTAGGTACCTATAAAGTTTGAGTTTTAAACAGTTTTAAACGTGGAAATACATGTTAGAAACGTAGTTAACAGCAGGGTACTGGAATTAAAAATGTCGCATGAGTACTGATTTGATGGAAAAGATTGACAAGTACAGTGTAAAATTACAAGAACAGGATTTCCTTATAGTTACTGAATATACTCTACTTTAAAGATTAGGGTGAGTTAGGTTCATTTAAGCAAATTTAAGTTTTTTTAATCTACAAATGAAATCAAACAATGTTCTCCGATATTCTAAATCTAGGTACGCAAAATATTCAATGCTGGTCGGGACTAGTAGCTTATAAAGTGGTTATTTCCCGCAATGTCAGCACTTTCAGCAGTTAGGAATCTTGTCTATGGAGTTAGATATTTTTTGCATACCTAGATTTCTGGTATCGAAGAACATTGTTTAACTTAATTTGATAAGTTTGTAGACAATTTTTTTGAATTTGTTTGAAGTACCTAACCTGCTTTTTTTAGTTCAGACATTTATACACTGTGTACGCGCTCAAATGGAAACATAGTTATAGAATTCTTATTTTTCGATATGTTTGTAAAATTTCTGTTACAAAAATGTTCGAACAGTGTCAAAAAGCAGATATATTACTGCAGATACTAAGCAGATATATTCAAAAATGTAAAGAATATTCCTTAATTTAACTGTATACTTGTGTCAGATATTCCTTAAGCCTGTATTTGACAGTCGATGGAATGTCTGTATACAGGGTGTCCCGTTCATGTTTCAAAAAACTTGCCTGCAAGTTGCTCATAGGAAAATAATGGGGGTAGTCCATGTGACGTTTTTTTCTTCGACGCCTTGTTTTCGAGATACAGAGTGTTGAAGTTGTTACTTTCCAAATGGTTTTCCTTAATTATCTTTAAATCGGCTAAAGATAAAAATGTCAAAATTTGTACACGAGTAAACATCAACTGTGCGTTAAGAATAATATGCAAAGGGTTTCTTTCTGAAAAACAGTGTCGCCGATACAGATAATTGGAGGGGTACAATCGAAAAAAAAAATATGTTAAAAGTCAAAATTTATTCTAAACGGTTCTGTAAACTCTAAAGCATACTACAAGAAAAATGTATACTTGTCGAAATTCGGTAGCATGTACCATTTTCGAGAAAAATTACATTTTTTTTGCTCACACAATGCGGCACAAGTACATTAACAAAATATTAAATTGAAAGAGGACTTTACCATTGAATGAGCTGAAGACATTTAGCTACCAACAGTATTTACATTTAAGACTATAATTTTAATTTCTTACGTATCACATGAAACAGTTAAATTGTAAAACATTTTGTTAACTAAAAAAAAAAATTCAAATTTATTATAAGTTTCAGCTTGTTGTAAACTAACATTTAAAAAAGTAAATCAAAATAAACGGATTATGGTAATTAATTATTTATTACTAACTAATTTTAGATTTTGTAAACTACTACACCACCATTACTAAAATAAACAATTGTTGAATGGACTGAATTGTTGATGGACATGAATGCTTAAAAAAAGTGATAAGAACAGAAAAATACTAGGAAACAGACTGGTAGACATACAGAACAAAACAGCTGCACAATTAAATAAATGAGCAAAACTCGAAACACTACAGTAGATGCTGAAATTGTCCCCATTTTCTTCTATGCAACTTTATTTTTCTCGAAAATAGTACATGCTACCGAATTTCAATAAGTATACCTTTTTTGTAGTATGCTTTAGAGTTTACAGAACCGTTTAGAAATGTTATAAAATTTGACTTTTAACTTTTTTTTTTTTCGATTGTACCTCTCCAATTATCTGTATCGGCGATACTGCTTTTCAGAAAGAAACCCTTTGCAAATGACATTTTTGTCTTTAGCCGATATTATCTCGAAAACAGGGCGTCTAAGAAAAAACGTCACATGGACTACCCCCGTTATTTTCCCATGAGGAACTTGCAGGCAAGTTTTTTGAAACATAAACAGGACACTCTGTATTATAAATATAAATTATAAAATAAAAATGTAAATGCCATGTTCCTTTTTTCAGGTGAGTGCCTTCTATTGTTAAAATTAGGCGAATAATGACAAAGAAGGTTATTTGGTGAGTACATATTTATATTGTCAAAATTTAAAGTCGTTCATAAAAAAACGCCTCTTGCGTTTTTACGTTTTTTAATAATTTATTTACCCATTTTCGTGTAGAAACGATTTAAACTTTGATAATTGTTTGAATTAAAATAAAACCAAATTTTGATTACACTAAATTTTATTAGGCAATGATTAAATAATCACACAATCAATTTTTTCATAAAATAATTTTTGTCTTAAACGTCGCGCCAAAGAAATTGATGCAGAATTTTACATAGTGAAATACCTGAAGAAAATATTAATTGTTTTTAAGGATGCCTTGACACATTCAGTGCTCTAGCTTTTTCTCAGAAACAATTAATATCGAACAAGCGTTTTTGGTCATCATGATAATTAATTAACTTTAAAAAAAAATTAAAAAGTTGCAGGTGAAATAGCGACAGTCATTCCATAAAACTTCTTCTTAGGTAAAATATTGGATTTAAACAATTTGAATTAGTGTCGAGATACCTTAAATGTAAGTTTAAAACATGAATAAAAATATGAGGAAACAATTTAGATATCACAAGGTTCCTTTAAAATGATACTACTATTTATACATTTAAAAGGTGCTCTTTTCTAATATAAGTACTATCTATCCTGAAAATATGGGCAGCAAATTTGTGACCACGCTGTACCTATTAATTATTTAGTAGTATATAATGCACTATTATCCACATACTTTGTTAGTTAAATACAGTCCGTACGATGTTTGCTGAGATAGAATTTCAAGAACTACTACAACAATTGACTGCGGCAGGGGCGTGCCTTGAAATTTGGTCTTTCTGCCTGGGGTGGAAATTCTATGTCAACAAATATCACACGGACTATAAGTAGGTTTACTTAAAAAATAGTCCATTTCCAATTCGATTGGAGTCTACTAATTAGTGAAACCTAATAAAATACATGTATTGTCTTATTACTACATATTATAAAACAAAGTCCTCCGCCCCGTCTGTCTGTCTGTTCGCGATAAACACAAAAACTACTGCGCACCGATTTTCATGCTGTTTCTACCAATGGATAGAGTGGTTCTCGAGGGAGGTTTTATAATATAATTTGTTAAGTTTCTGTATACATTAACGATATTTGTTGGAGGTGTCGGAAAAAAATAAGCCGTCTGGGAGCTTTCAACGAAAACGCTGCCTAAGCCCTTTAAGATATAACAAAATAATGTATGGTGGAATTGTGTATCTTATATAGGTCTACAGAAAAGTCCGCGATGACATATGTCTATCTCTTAAGGATAAGATACTATATCCATTTTAATACTTTAAAAATGGGCATTTATAAAGCGGTAATTGGAAAGCTATTTACACAAATACGGTATTAATCCTTATCATTTTAAATACGTTAGTTGGCTTGAGCATTTCATGAAGATTATTTTTTCCCTTTACACCATGCAAATTAAATGAATACCTTAGGAGATATAGCAAAATCAAAATAGTGCGCAACGACATTAATTTCGTGTCGCCGTGATTCGACCGGGCCGCGCGAGCGCCCCGTGACCCGCGCCTCGCGTCCTAGCCGGGGGGTCCGAAAGTGTATGTAGTGTATCAATGTATGGTGGAATTGTGTATCTTATATATGCCTACAGAAAAGTCCGCGATGGCATATGTCTATATGTTAAAGATACTGTGTTAAGTTAATTGTGAATTATAAAGCGGTAATGTAAAAACTATTTACACAAATATGGTATTAATCCTTATCATTTTAAATAAGTTTGTGGCTTTAAGCATTTCATGCACATTATTTTACTCTTTTACACCATATAATTTAAATGAATATCTTAGAAGTAATCGCAAAAAAATTACGGACGCGAGAATAAAATTCAAGTGCCTCGCTTCGCTTGATGCGATCGCCGACCCTCCCCCCGCACCGTCTTGCCTACTGTTTAGCTAATAAGCCGAACGATAACGCGCGCGTAATCCTTTAATAAACTGACTTGGAGCGAATGGAGGTGACGACTGACGACTGTGTTTTCTTTCTGGGTGTTGTTGGAAAGTTATAATTGCGTTCGATATTTTAATGTCACATTTTTGTTTTGTATTTGTTGTCTTTAGGTAGTCGGAACATACATAGATACTTGCAAATATACTTTTATTTCATTGAGTTTTAATAATTTGTTTTTTTCTTATTGTGAATCATTTAAAACTTCATAGTCGCATTTTTGTTTCGTGTTTGTTTTCCTTAGGTAGTTAGATACCTAACTACTTACTTATTAATTAAAATTGATAGTCCTGAACATAGGTACTTTAATTTAATTTGTTTGTTTTCACATTGTTGGTAGTTACCTATATTATTTTAAATTTAAATGTTTTGCATTTTTAGTTTTGAGTTCGTATGTTGTCGTTAGGTATAGATATATCGTGAATTATTTTAAAATTAATATTAGGGTCGCATTAGATGAAAGATGATTGAGTTTTTGTTTGTTACGATTTATCTCAGAAACTACGTACTCAACCAATTTTACCGAAAGCTAGATATCCTCGGACATAGGCTATTTTATATTTGTCCGTGCGAAGCAGGGGCGGGTTGCTAGTGTTAAATATTTATCTTGTGAAACTAGGTAAGGATTCGAAATAATTGACGTAATATTTTGTATCTACTGGGAAGCACATGTATAGAGTTTAAATTTAGTTGTTTAATATTTTCCATTTAAAACGGCCAAAGATCAGAAATAATGTGTTTCCTTGTAGATTTAGTAATTGACATCACTCAATAAGTTATTAGGATCACATATAGATGGCGCCACTATTAACAAATGTATACTTTACTTCAAATGATGCGTTACAGTGACGCCACTGTTGTAATTTTGAAAGCAATAGAAAAATCTGAGTTTTGTGTATTAATAAAGCAACAATTGCAAAATGGCACGAATTACCCTTTGAATTGCTTCCCCATCTACCGTGTTCTCAGGAACTGGCTCCCAGCGTCTACTATCTGTTTGTAGACCTAAAAATGCTCCAGGGAAAGAGATTTGGTTCCAATGAAGAAGTGATTGCCAAAACAGGGCAAAGATAAATCGTTCTACAAATAGGGCATCGAAATGTTAAAGCATTGCAATCAATGTAACAATATGTAAATGAATAACGTCAAACTTTCCCTAAACGTTATTGTTTTATTAGTCATTCTACGAAGTTATTGTATCTAAAACATTATTCAAAAAAGTAGGAACGGTATATGAAAACGATCCCTGGCATTTACATTTGACATGTTGATTTATACAATAACAGTTTGTTCCAATATAAATATTATGAATGTGTGAGCGTTTACAATACAAATTGGTAAATCAAATGTAAAAATACAAAACAAAATTAGTCCCAAGGTGCTACCTTGTAGTACACCACGTTTTATTGGTTTTAGTTGTGAACGTAATTCATGATTTATTTTCTCCCTTTGCAACTGATTTTATAAATAATTATGAACTAACACTGATCAAGTCCAATATAAAATACCTTTGATAATAAAAGTTTAAAGGATCCTAAAATGTCTTACTTTGAAAAGGTAGTTTCCTTGTATGAAAGCAACATATATCTCTTGCCTGCTTCTCTTTGTTGTGAGCTTAATTTAACATCATTGCCTGTAGATATATCGGGATCAGGTCGACGCGTCGGAGTGGATCACCTGGGGAAACTTCACGTACCTATGTCTAAAGATAAAAATTCTGAAAATGGGCTACTGGTATATATATGTTTTTGAGCTGTATTTATAAACGACCGAACAAATATTTTATATCTTTTACCATGTTCGAGTCTATAATTTACAAAACCGTCGTTTCTTTCACCTGTTCCTAAATGGTATGTATATGGAATATTGTTTTCATGAAATTTAGCTGCTATATACGGTAAACTGGAATTTTGTGGATTTTTTTCCACGTTACTAATTAATTCATCTGTTAGAAATTGATCAGGATTTTTTTGAACCGTCAATTTACCTTCAGGGACTACAACTAAATAGTAATGACTAATTGGGCCATATTCTTCGGATGCTTGAGGTAAAATAACTTGAATCTTTTCACCGTTAACAACACCATAAAAATCTGGTTTTACCATGGGTTGAGGTGCAGCCATTTGTGTAGTAACAGTTATTGTTGTTGGTGGCCGATATGAATTATCGGTCGGTATTGCACTGACATTAACATTGTATGTTGTAAACGGTGATAATTCATTAATAGTATGGGATCTTACATCACCATTTAGTTTAATTTCTACCTTAGGTATAATGTGCGTTTGAGTTATACCCTGTGAATCAACAAATTCTTTTACAGCATCAAATGATATTTTGTATTTCACTGGGTTTAATCTTATTGGTGGTGACCAAGACAACGTCATCGAATGTGTAGTAACTTCATGTGCCCACAAATTGAGTGGCACATCTTCAGGTTTAACTTTCACTGTTACTTTTCCAGATAATCGTCCTAAACCATTTTTCATTTTAGCTGCAACCGCTATAACATATTGGGCAGACTTTTCCAAATTAACTATGTTTGCCGATTCTGTCAGTCCTACAGATTTTTGTTGCCATTCATCTAAATCTTCTGCTGCAGTTATTGTATAAAAAATTTTGTAACCAATAACTTTTCCTCTTGTACGAATTGCGTCCCACGAAACTTCAACACTTGAATCTGATGTTGCAACTGCCTTAACAGACATTGGAGCTCTTCCGATATCTCTCATTGTTTGAATTGAAATTTCTTCACTACTAGGCCCAACACCTTGGCTAGTACATGCTCTGACATGAAACACATATTCGGTATTTTCTTCGAGGTTTGTAAAAACTGCCTTTGGATAGGTTACATTACGAACAATTATATTATTGTGATTTGATTTTTTTTGAAACTGAATATCGTATTTCGATATTTGCCCATTTCTGTGCTCACGTGTTGGTGGTGACCATGATATACAGACAACATCAGATGTTTGGAAATAGTAAGTAAAATTTGTTGGAGGCCCCGTAGGGGGACCTTCTGGGGTGTGCATACATTTTATAGCCTCTTGACTCACTCCTATGTTATTTTGACTAAATTCACATTCTACACCTCGTTCTAGGTTATTTATTCTGGAGTTTGTGACATGTGAATCTGAAATAATATAAAAATTACTGATATGGGAAATAATATGCAGTAACTAAAAAAATTCGTATTTTATTTTGTGTTGCGTTTGCACAAACGCTAAACGTCATATAATATATAGGAATTGTCGTTTTGTCACGTTGCTTAAACTTTTTTGCGCTATGTTTCATAAATCTATGACGTCATCGACATTTTTTAAAATAACACCCATTTTTTAAGCAAAAGGATAGCCCTTTTGAAGGGAAATGTGTCGATATAGAATTTGGCCTACTTTACTTTGACAAGTGCGAAAAATTACATAGATAATGATGTTCCAACAGATAGTATTTGGTTTCAACAGGATGGGGCCCCTCCTCATTTCGGGATTATTATAAGGAATTACTTGCATGAAATTTTTCCAAATAGGTGGATAGGTAAGTCCCATTGAGTGGCCACCACGTTCACCCGATTTAACTCCTTTAGATTATTTCTTGTGGGGCTATTTAAAAAGCAGAGTTTACGTTGATAGACCGGACATCATCGAGAGCTTAAAAGTGCGCATAAAAGAAGAAATTAATCAGATACCACCAGAGGCAATCAAAATACCACGGATGAATTTAAACATCGACTTGCTCATTGCCTAACTGTTAACGGACTTTGAACATCTTCTTTAAGTTACATAAAATTGTTTAATAAAAATCCTTAAGTTCACCAGATTTTTTTGAGAAACTCATTCGCATTCTTTACATTAAATTAAATAATACACTTGTCTCTTTTTTTTCCACACCTGTCAAAGTAAAGTAGGCGAAACCCTATATCGACTCATTTCCCTTCAAAAGGGCTAGGCTACAAAATTACGTGGTGCTATTTAAAAAAAATGTCGATGACGTCGTAGATTTATGAAACAGTGCAAAAAAGGTTTAAGCAACGTGATAAAACAACAATTCCTATATACCTACTAATTGACGTGTTTTAACGTTTTTGTGAAAATTCAACATAAAATAAAATACGATTTTTTTGCGTTACTTCTGAAACGCAGTGTATTATTTCATAACATATATAAGGTCTGATTTAAATAAATTAATAATTAAGTGAAAAGGTCTCGAAAGCTTGAATATATGTAGCGAAAAAAGATATCGATTTCAAATTTTGGGCATGCACATGATTGAATTTGATCATAAAAATAATTGACCGTCACTTCCTGTTTGACCGGAAATGCCCTAACCTTTGTTATTTCATATGGAACACCCTGTTTATTATTTTTGTTTTCAATTCTGCTGAAGAAACTAACACTAAAATATGTATTATGTCCTATACCTATCTTTGATAGTTTCCGAGAAAATCGCACTTTAAAATGTCAAATGTGTCATTTATAAAATCCTTTTGAAAGAAAACAAACGAAGAAATGGACAAAGTCATATGGTATCTTTAACTTATTTTAGAAGTACTAAAGTCTGATATCATAAAAGTGTCGCACTTCCAGCACATCCGGAAAATACCGGAAGTCATCTTTAATAGCAAGTAACTGCAATAATTTTAATGGAATGCCCTACAACTAATTGAGAATTCGTATTCTACAAGCAATTTCGAATAATTTTTATGTACACTTCCCTATACCCAAAGTTCGGAGTTTTTGAGATATTAAATGTTTAATGTAAAAATGTCATCTGAACGATGCATAAATGGAAAACGATATAATCAGTCAATGCATAGATCAGAGGTGCCTAGGAATCTTAATTTTAATATAGTTGCTATGACAGGCTTTTGTTTTTAGACGCCATATTTTCATAATTACTTAACCCCCTAACCCCCAGCTACCCCTACTTTTTTTTCAAATGGAAACATAAGGCATGAGGGAGCTCGTTGAAAAGCTTATAGAAAACCGAATCCAGCCATACCAAATAAACAAGTTTAATTCTTTCAATAACATGTTTTTTTTCATTTAGAAATTGAAACAACTAGATAATATACAAAAATACACTCAATGTCGCAAATGCTAAAAATGTCCTTCATTCACTATTTGGCATTCTCCAAGACAATAGTAAAAGCTGTCCACAGCATTCTGAATGACTTCAGCTGGTAAATTATGCATCTCCGCCCTAATCTTGTTCTTTAAATTCTCAATATTATCCGATCTGTCCTGGTAGACTCTTTCTTTCAAATATCCCCAAAGAAAATAATCCAGGGGTGTTAAGTCGGGGGATCTTGGCGGCCATTCAACTGTACCCCATCTACCAATCCAGCGATTTGGAAACATTTCATCTAAGTATCTTCGAACATCAATACCAAAATGTGGGGGAGCGCTATCTTGTTGGAAGCAAATTCTTTCATTCGGTATATCTGGATTAATTTCACGAGGGAAAATATAGTACTTTGCTCAAAAGTTTCAGCAAACCAATGTGACCCCTCAGCGGTGAGATTAGAATATTTACTATTTTCAAAATTTTCTGCAAATGTTTGTAATTCAATATCCAGGTCTAAATTATTGAGATTATTATTTAGTGTTTCGTTGTGACATTTATAACACTCAAATTTTGAGGAGAGAACATAGATTTTTGTTCATTTGTGTGAATATTTTTTTTCACAAGCGTGTTTGAGAAAAATACATTTTTTTTGTTTATATCATAATTTGGGCTTAATGAAGTTTAAATTTTATTTTTCAAGGCTAAGTTGACAATATAACGTGCTCTTGACTTGTTTTTCTCCATTTTGCAACTAAAAATAACAAAGAATACCCCTATCAGTTAGAAATAATCTTGTATTTTTAAAATATTAGAAATACCTATTTTGTTAACTCAAGATTATCCGTTAATTTTACAAGCATGCTACGAATTATTTTCTATTAGTATACGCGAAAGCCATAAACCATTTTCTATAAAAAATACTTCAAATCTTGAACTACGCCTATGTCTATTTATTCGCGATTTCCCGCGCTAACCTTACAAAAGAAATACGAAATTTGTCTATATTACTTATTCATAAAGGATTAATTATTCTCTAAGTCAAATATAGTCATACAATCGTAATACAGTGTTCTTACCTCATTAAAAACTAGATTATTAATTGAAAAAATAATGACGATCACTGAACCAAACAAGCTATGCGGACGAAAATATCAGAAAACAGCCATTCTGAATAAGTAGAAATCCGCTATGTGTATTATGCTTGCACATAGAGAGTTACGGCGCGCAATTCAAATGGGCCAAAAAACGCTAAGTGCAGGAAATGATTATTTTCTTCACATAGCGCCTCTCGACGACACACTTTTTGGATGTACACATAGGGTGATTTATATTTTGGTTCTTTTGTAACAAAATGCTTAGTATTTTCACATATAGCTGATTTTCAATTGACGGAGTTTGATTCACTCTTTATATTAAGACACATATCTCATTTTGGCCAAAAATTGCACATAGCGGTTTTTGGAGGCGCAACGACGATATGGTGCATGTTTTGAGCAATTGTTGCGTTGAAAAGTAATAAACTTAACAATTACATTTTAATGTTGCAACCCTCCATCTCTTGAAAAATAATAAATTTGAGCAGTAGTCAGAATTGGTCTTTCTGTCACCTTTCCAGTGAGAGGTCACGCGCCATATTGTTGCATTTGGTTTTCGCCCTCCTTAAAGGGCTACATTTTGCATATTGCTTGAAATACATTCAAACATTGACATGTCACGGGAATTTTTTGAAAAATTATTCAGTTCCAGTCTCCACCCTGTATATTATTACATTCAATGTCGACACATGTATGTGTTAGGTTTTTCCATATGATAATTAATACCACATCTTACCATACTGCTTCGTTTTCACGGGAATCGGTGGAGTAGTAGCACCTTCACCTCTTTGGGACCTAGCGGCTAACCAAACATAATAAATTGTATCTGGATATAGTCCTGTTAAAGTGTATGTCTCTGATATGGGTATACGTCTATGATGTTTTTGTTTAGCATTGGTATCATTCCAGTACAGTTCATAACTGACTATGCTTTCTGCCAAGTATGTTGGTTTACTCCATTGTAATGCCAATGAAGTTTCTCCAATATCTGAGGTACGCAAATTACTAGGCTGTTTTGGTACACCTGAAAGTTATAGAAGAATGTTAGAAACCAATTTTTATATTTAAAGGAGAGATCATAAATATCTATTTACTTATTTAGTTAATTAACTCTTACATAATTTTCCAGTTAATTGAAGAAAAAAAAATGTATAGTAATGTAAATTTAGTTTTAAAATTTTTATCAAACACTAAGTATAACAATGGCATCAAAATTTATACAAATTGTTTGCAACACAAAGAACGTATTTAGTTTTTCTTTTTTTGGGTATTTTTCATGATGTAATTTCAACTCAATAATTAACAAATAATAATGACTGTCCTGCAAGGATTAGTAGTTTTTTTAAAGAAATATATAGAGTGTCCCTGAAAAGTATGGACAATGCTTGACCACAGGTTCCTCGGATGAAAATAAGACTATTTAGTCTAACCTACTTATATACAAAAATGCACGCATACTGAGGTATAACCGAGGGATGTTTCGCTGTCTAGATTTTGTACATCAAAATGCATTCCCCGAGAAAAAGCACGAAATTAAAATGCCGAAATTCCACAATCCTCGGTATGAAAAAAAATTTCCGAAATACCACCGTAATGTCCCCGAAATGCCAGAAATACCAGAAAATGCCTCTAAATGCCAGGAAATATTCTTGATATACGTTGTAAATATGTAATTCATATTGTTTCAATAAAACCTGTTTTAACAAATCTGCAGCCTTTATTTTTCCTTGAGGTAGAATAATTCTTTTAGACAACAAAACTTGCTATTATTAAAAGAAAATATATTTAAAAAATAAGAAAAATGGAAAAATTACTTGTTTTACATATGTTTCTAAGATAAATAGTTTTCAAATTATTTGAAAAAAACTTGGTTATCTGTTTTATATTTAGCTATATCTCAGTAGGCGTGCACTTTTATACAGGGTGTCCCTGAAAAGGATGGACAACGTTTGACCACAGGTTCCTTGGATGAAAATAAGACTATTTAGCCTAACTTACCTATATACAAAAGTGCACGCCTACTGAGATATAGCCTTTTAAATATAGAATAGATAACCTATTTCTTTCAAATAATTTGAAAACTATTTTTCTTAGAAACTTCAAATTTGGTACACTTATTTTTTTATATAAGGGCAAGGTAAATATAGAATTTGGAGAGAATACATATACAGGATGTTCTATTTTTAGTGCCTGTGCGCCGCTGGCTATTCCGTAACTTTTTTATGTGTATGCCAATGACGACAGAATTTATATTTTAAAAAATAAGCACTATTTTAGAAGATTTTTTTGCTCTTACAAAATTTCGATATCGTTTATGGATTTCGAGTAATATTCACATTTGTTATACATTAAATATAGGCAAAAATTCCGCTTTATAAAAAATTATTTATAACCTCATGCAGCCTCAAAGCAGGGAATAATAATGAAAAAACGTCACATTAAAAAAAAGAACTACACATTTTTGATATTAGTATTATCAATCAATAAAATACAAATCTACACTAATATTTTAAATAAACAATAGCAACTAATAATGTAAGAAAGTCAACATTCACATTTTAAATAAACTGATATTTGTAATCACATTAAAATAATATTACAGTAAATGCTCAAAGTTACTTTCTTGTTCTTAAACGCAAACATTAGTTCTTCGAAAATTAGAAATTATCCAATAATTGTGCATTACCTCTCATAACATTAATTTCATGTTGTATTCTTTCCTATATTCGTTTTCTGTATTTACTGAAAAATTATTTTAAACTGTGGTCCTCAACGCTCCCCAAATGAAATAATTACATGGGTTTAGGTCCAGGGATCGAGGTGGCCATTTTAAATGGGCATTATTTCCTCTACCTATCCACCTGTTAGACCTTTAATAACCTGTAATACCTACCTGTACCCTGTAATACCTGTAACCTGTAATAACTGGTCTTTTAATACTCTATTAAAGGAACTTTTTGAAAGCCAACCTCTGCCGCTAAACGCCTTTTATTTACTTGAGGAATTTCTGCGACCCTTTCCAAAATTTGTTCCTCCAGCTGAATAATTCCGGCCGTACATTATTATCCAGGATTTAATGTTACAGGTAAAAAACGTCCTGTTTCCCGAAGGCGTCTCTCCGCATTAGCAAATGTTTTGTATTCTTCGATTAGGAAATCTTTCAGCATATGTTCGAACAGTAGCACAACAATTTCTTTCAAAATAACCCAAAATTACTAACATATCAGTTTGTTCAGCAAAAGTATAAATTGCAATAAAAAACAAAGTAAGCTAAAATTAAATCACAGCTAGCTTGACACAGAACATTTTAATTATTGTTATGAATTTGTTTCTCTGTTATATGGCACCTCGTACTAGAATATCTTAAACTGATTTTATATTATTTAATGTGTAAAAATGCCAATTTTACTCGAAATCCATAAACGATATCAAAATTTTGTAAGAGGCAAAAAATCTTCTGAAATAGTGCTTATATTTAAAAATATAAATTCTGTCGTCATTGGCGTATATACAAAAAAGTTATGGGATAGCCAGTGGCGCGCAGGCACTAGAAAGAGAACATCCTGTATATGTATTCTCACCAAAGTCTATATTTACATTGCCCTTATATAAAATAATATGTGCACCAAATTTGAAGTTTCTAAGAAAAATAGTTTTCAAATTATTTGAAAACATCTAGGTTAGCTGTTCTATATTTAGAAGGCTATATCTCAGTAGACGTGTATTGTATATAGGTAAGTTAGGCTAAATAGTCTTGTTTTCATCCAAGGAACCTGTGGTCAAGCGTTGTCCATCTTTTTCAGGGACACCCAGGTAAGTTAGACCACTACAATTCTTGGATAGTATGCTGGAATACTATCTAAAAGTATGGAAAGAACTGATTCGAAAATTTTTTGAGATTATTTAATTGATTCACTTTGATGAAAAAAAAACAGCCGTAACTGTAATATTTGAACCACTTTTCTCTTAGTAAATGTTAACTTACAGAGCATATATATATATGATTATAAACCTTATAAATGTTAATAAAAGGACTGACTAAATACAAACCTAGTTGTGTTTTAACATCAACTGGTAAACTAAGGGAACCATGCCCTACAGATGTGCATGCTTGAACTTTAATTGTGTAGATTGTGTGAGGAATAAGCTCACTAATTGTTGTTAACCCATTGTTAGCCACCATTTTTGATTCCCATTGCGTTATTGGCAGTTCAGAATTTGTTGTGTAATACACTTTGTAAGTCTAAAAAATAATGTATAAGTTAATTTGTAACTGTTACAATGTTGCTCATTGGTCCAAGAAGTATTTGGAAAAATATTTAAAAAATATTATTTCGTATTATAACCATATTGTATATAATAAATTACAAATTAAATTCTAAAACATCCACCAGAGTTTTTTATCTTTTGATTTTATGTGAATATATAGGATGAGTCATAATTAGGTGTAAAAAATGTAACCAAAACCTCCTCAGACCAAAATAAAGTAATTAAGCAAATATACTCAGACCAAAATGCTTCCTTAAAAAGCTACAGCCCTTCTTAGAATGTTTTTATTTATTTTTTATATGTTAACTGTTACCTGTTTAAGGTATTTATTTGAAACTTTGGGCAAAGAAGTTTTTGGTACAGCCTAATATGAATGTAAGCTTATTTTTATCTAAAACATATAGATTGCTAAGAAGATGATAAAAAGTGATTTGTTTTTTTTTTGTTGAACTTTTTGTTCATTTGATTTTGAGAAAATGTTTGTGCTTTTTGTAATGTTACTTTATTTACTGTACTGTATATCGTGAAAATACTTAGTTCCTGAGAAAAATCGATATTAATTTTCTGCTGGATATATTAGACATAGGCAGTCGAGTATTTAATGGTTCTAATTAACCGTTACTGTCTGTTAAATTTGAAGCTGAATTCATATTTTTAATAATTCAAACTAATTTACTTCTATTAAAAAGTCACAGTCTATTGATATAGTTATCTGAGTTTAGTATGACAAAACTATATCCACATGCACAGGACCATATCTTAGAGGGTGTTACCCTCTGAGTTGGGGTAGTAAATTTTAAAAAGATTAAAAAACTTTCAAATACTTGTTTGTCTATAAGTGATAACCTGATAACTGCAGCAGAAAATTAAAAATATTTTTTGTCAGGAACTGTGTACTTTAGCGATAACCTACAAGTAGGTATATTTTTTTTACAGTAAAGTGGTTCAAAAAACACCTAGAAAAAACAAAAGAAATTGAGTAAGAAAACAACGACTGTTCAAGATGTTCTTAGTCGCCCTATGTTTTAGGTAAAAAATAAGAATATCTTCATGTAGATATCTGGAGCGACTCTGACGTCACAGCAGCTGTGGACTGTATTTCTTTAGTTTTGTATGGATTTCTGTAGGAATTTGGACTTGGAGAAAAATAAAATAACAGGCATATTAAATTAGTGGCTTTATATTTTAAATAATTTTAATCAATTGTGTATTCTGGATTATGAAAATCAGTAACGAACTGTAAATAAGGTGCTATTTTGGTTTGACCTATTAACCTTATTATTATTATTTGAATTGATGAATATGTTTGTTACTTTGAAATTATAATTGGGTATTTTTTTATTCTATCCTTTATTACAGAAGGTTGATCACTAATTATATGGCAAATATATACAGGGTGTTTGGAAAAGTTTGTACAAAATTTAAGGGGGTGAAAGTAGAGCCAAATGTAGTAAAAAAAGTTCCTATAAACATTGGTCCTCCGGAGCAGCGTTACTGAGATATGGCCCTCCAAAGGGGTCTTATCATTTGGATATTTTTTAAAATAACTTTCTTTCTGATTAAGATAACGGAATGAAAATTGTAGGTAATAATTATACCATAAGAGTCTTTAACTACCATAAGTTTCATCAAAATCGGTTATAAATGAGGATAGTTTTGTAACTACTCTTAACAGAAATGTTTCGATTTTTTTTTATTTCTTTGAATTATCAAGCAAATAATATTATTTTTTAATGAATTAGATTTTTTTGAAGAAAAAATGTATCTACTTTTTTTTCTAATTCTGCGTAGTTTAGTCAGAAATAATTATTTTTTAAATAATGCTCAGGACAGTAACTTTTTTTAAACATTTTCACATAGTGGGCATCTTTCATAGTGACAGTTTCATTGTAATGATACTAATAATTGTCACTTTCGCGTGCTATGATTTAAATTCTTATGTTTCTTTATTTTCTTATAGTCCAATTAAATAAGCCTTTAAATCGAAATTTTGGTCAGCTTGCCTGAATTTTTGATATGAGTTAGTTTGGGGAATGTTATAACAACAAATTAACAGAGCTAGGGAGGCTAGAAGTTAAGGGAAATTTAAAAAAATCATAAGCAGAAAAATGAATGAATTTTGTAATTTTTTTTTCGATCTACTCTAAAAAATGTATCCTGTCTTTTCAAATATATTTTAATTTTTAATAAGAAAGTTATAACAATTTCAAATTTGTTGTTCACCCCCCTAAACACAGATTTTAATGAAAACCTCGAAACAGGTCAATTTAATTTTGTCAATTTGTTTACATAAATCATATTTTTAAATCTTTTTGAGTAAATATGATTTTTTTTATAAATAAAAAATTTAGTTTTTCTGAAATAAAAAATAAAAGTAGCAACCCCCAAACACAGAATAACTTGTGAAATATTTGTTTTTTATCATAAGTAATTTCCATTTTGTTTAATTTTAAAATATTGATTAGAACCCCAGATATTTTGAAAAAACTGTTTTGGGGGCGAACTTTGAGGGTGTATTTCACCCCGTAAATATGTTTTTCCGCCGATAAAAAAAAATATGTCTCTTTACATTTTTTAGAGTAAATTGAAAAAAATATTACAAAATTCAATCGTTTTTCTACTTGTTATGATTTTTTAAAGTTCTGAAATCTTCCCTTAACTTCTAGTCTAGTCTAGTCTAACTCTGTTAATTTTAATAATACAAGAAAAAGTCAAGATTGCATTTTTATGTAGAATTGTATGCTTTACAACTTTTTTTCTAGCCCTTACCCGTTTTGAGTTATCTTGAAAAACCCCTTTGTTTTTATCTTTTTTCACCCTTGGCCAGGGGTTGAACAAAAAATTACTGTCACTTATTGTTTTAACATTCCCCAAACTAACTTACTTATATAAGTAATTCAGGCAAGTTGACCAAAATTTCGATTTAAAGGCTTATATAATAATTGGACTACTTATTAGTTGTGATCTTTGTGCTCAACTTCGCATTTCACTTTTTACAGCCATGAACCATTATGCTTTTACTAACCGTGAATATGCCGATACTCTTTTTGAGCCGCCAGACTATTTCCATCAGAGAAACCATAAAATAAAATGCGTATCGGCATATTCACGGTTAGTAAAAGCATGATGGTTCATGGTTGTAAAAAAATCGAATGAAATGCAAATTTGATCACAAAGATCACAACTAAGAAAATAAAGAAACATAGCAATAAAGAAAACATAGCACGCGAAAGTGACAATTATTAATATCATTACAATGAAACGGTCACTGTAAAAGACGCCTACTATGTAAAAAAGTTACTATTCTGAGCCATATATTATTTAAAAAGTAATTATTTCTGACTAAACTATGCAGAATTCGAAAAAAAAAGTAGATACAATTTTTCTTCAAAAAAGTCTAATTCATTAAAAAAATAATAGTGTGCTTGATAATTCAAAGGAATAAAAAAAATTTGGAAACTATCCTTATTTATAACCGATTTTGATGAAACTTATGGTAGCTAAAGACCCTTATGGTATAATTATTACCTACAATTTTCATTCTGTTACCTTAATCAGAAAGAAAGTTATTTTAAAAAATATCCAAATGATAAAACCCCTTTGGAGGGCCATATCTCAGTAACAGTGCTCCGGAGGACCAATGTTTATAGGAACTTTTGTTACTATGTTTGGCTCTACTTTCACCCCTTCAAATTTTGTACCAATTTTTCCAAACACCCTGTATTTATGTAAACAGGAAAAAAGGCGATGTCCTTTAATTGTACTGCCAAACTTTTACTGGATGTTTCTTGGTTAAAATTAACACAATATGTTCATTGTTCATAAATGTAGCATGACGATAATTAATAAAATTATTACTAATCTTGAAAATTTTTACTAAATGACACAGTTCATGAGTCAAGTTAATTAAAAGGCATATTATCAAGTAACTGCATATAATGTCGCAATCAAAACTAACAACTTTTTTCTGTATAATTACTGTTGTTACTATTGTAAAAATTACTTACCAGCACATAACCATTGGATGTTTCTGGTTCATCCCAATTTATTACCAAAGTGCTGGAGCTGAGAGGACGTACTTGAACATTTCTTGGGGCACTTCCTAGATCTAATAAAAATAAAAGCAGTCTATGTTATAACGGATGTTTTTTTTTAATCTGAAACTTTCAAATATCTCGAGAAATAAGCACCCTACGAAAAAAACATTAGTAATCCAAAAATCACTCCGCGGAGAAAATACATTAGTGTTAAAATTTCTTTCCCGACCCCATGTAGATGGGGATGGGGGTAACTTTGAAATCTTAAATAGGAACGTCCATTTTTTATTGCAGATTCGAATTCTATGACTAAATTTTTTTTTTTTTTCATTTACCCTGTAGTAGTAGTAGTAGTAATAGTAGTAGTAAAAGGGGCGGCCTCAGCCTGGCAATTAGGCCACGAGTGGGCCCTTTTTGCTTACCCCGCCGTCCCATCGTCTAACCACTCTCTGCCTCTGACCCTCCTCGAACCTACCCGACGCCCTGATGAGCGCCAGGATTTTGGTCCATGGAAGGTCTCTCACCTCAACCCCTTGCAGCTCTTCAGCACCAAAGACTTTATGTCTTATTCTCCCAAAGGCTGCACATTGTCCCAGAAGGTGGACAGGGGTGTCTTCCCCTTCGCCACATTTCGGGCATTTCATTTACCCTACTGAGAACCTATGTATAAGATTTTGCTATGTGTTTACAATAAAAAATACGACGTTTTATGTAAAAAAAGCGAGACCTTTGCAAATTTCGAATAACTGGGAAATAAACTACATTTAGCTTAACCCAGATACAATGACGGCGACGTGGACATAGTAGTTTTCTGTTTCCTTCGGAGTGCTTGATTAAAATGAGTTATTTCTTTCTTGTACGTTTATTTTGTGATTTTGCAGTTACAAAAATCACGAAATGAAAACATAAAACAATTTTATGAAAATTGTTTTTAACAAAAGAAATGGTATTCTTAAAACAAAATACAAACAAATACATTACTTAATTTAAAAGCCGATTTAATCAAGCACTCCAAGAAGTCATAAGCGAGGGAAATCGCGTTGACTAAGTATCCCAAAAGGAGTAGGTAATTGTAAATTTGAGAAATAAAATTTAAGCCATTAACATTTCTACAGCTAACAATTTCCCAGTTTTCCGAAATCTACAAAATGAATAACCTTTTTTAGCGACGAATTTCGAGTATTTATTTTTATTGCAAACACATTGCAGAATCGTATGCATAGGTTCTCAGTGGGAGAAATCGAAACGACTGAATTTTGTCAATCACAGCGCCATGTACCATGGATAAAAAAAAATGATTCAGACAAATCCCACGTACTTTTAACCACAAAATCCGAATCTGCAATAAAAAAATAGGAGTTCCTATTTAGATTTCAAAGTTACCCCCCGACTCAGCTGCAGAAAGGAGGGGGAGCTAATGTTAGCACTAGTGTATTCCCTGCATATAAATTGTTTAAATTTTGATTATAGGCATAGAGTGCTTATTACTCGAAATATTTGAAAGTTTCAGGTTAAAAAAAAACACCTGGTATAATTAGATGTAATTAGTCAAGAAATCATCAAAATCCGCTATATTTGTGGCATCTTTTATATGTATAAGGTATCCTGAAATGTAAGAGTTAAGCTTGATAGAACTATAGAAATTAAAGAAAACAGTTCCCTTAAATATGCAAACACAAATGCTTAGTTTCCGAGGTATAGGGATTTCAAGAAGAAATTATCAAAAATATTACTTTTTGTATATTAAACGTTTAAAGATAAACAAATGTAAATTTAAATGTTTTATCTCTTATAAGACTATGAACCAGATTCAAGCAGGAGCAGATCAAAATAGGGGCGTTTAAATGAAATTTTGTGCTATTACTCATGATGTACATTTTAAAAATTATTTATGACCAGAACTTTACAATTTGGATTTTTTTTACTAATAACTTATATACACTATACACTATATTATATACATATAATATCACTTTTTTGAATTACATTATCAGTAACAAGCACTTTCATAAACTTAAAATAACTCTAGAATTACTCGTTTTTCAAAATGTACAGATTTTTTTTTTTTCTAGAGATATGATTATCTAGTTGATTTTTTCCAAGTATTAATGAATTGGTCACCTTGTATTTTTGCAGATTGTCGTAAGATACCTACAGTTTATGGCATTTGACTCGAATTTGAATTTGAATTTTACAGAACACCTCTAATTAAAAGATTAATATAGAAACCAAAATATATGACAAAGTATTTTTAAATAAAAACAGTGTTAATAACTGTTAATATCATCAAGTAATATATTACATTAATTTGTATATAATAAATATATGTTATTAATTGACACAATTAGACTTAGGATATCTCAATTATTCAGTTAATTTCAAAATAAGTTCTTATAGACCGTGAGCTAGCGCACATGAGTGTGGCGTCATCGAAAAATGTCTGGCATTTTGAGGTCTGAAAAAGGTAAGTTAGTAATAGTAATGCAAAATGTCAGACAAAAATAAATCGTTTAAATTAGAAAAAAAACAACAAGTTTTTATTAATTTTTGTAACTTTTCAATTCATTTTTCACCCCTATGAACTACCCTTTCGGCTATTGAAAACTGTCTGGCATTTGAAAATTGTTAGGTACTTCCAGACACTTTAATATGAGTGAGAAACTAATTATTTTATGCAAAAGGAAATTAATTTTCCAAATTTTCGAACCCTTATTTTCATTAACTAACTTCCTAACCTTTTTCAGACCTCAAAATGCCAGACATTTTTCGATGACGCCACACCCATGTACGCTAGCTCACGGTCTATTATGTGCCTGCAGAAATGTTTAGGTATACCTACACGAAAATATCAGAAATATATCAAAACACTGCTAGTTTATAAATATTAAAATATATTTTATATTATTCTAAACGTTTTACCTAGGCATGAAATCATAAGTAAGCCAACGAAAAAATGTAACAAAATATTCATAACAGACATCATCACATAACAGAGGTAGGGTACTTCAAGTGGCACAACACATTTAAAAAAATAGCACTATGTATCTAAACTCGCATTCTTATTCTTCTAATACACATTAAATATTTAAAAAACATCACAAACACTACATATTATTAATACAATAAACAAACCAGTCAACTAGTAAACAACTCAAATGACAAATGACAGAAATGTCACAAACAGTGTTGTCACCACAGATCAAGAAAAGACATAGATACATAATTTATACCTATGTGGCTTGAAGCCAAAGTAGTTCATCGGAAGGGTGAGGAAGTTGTGTTTACATTCCCTCATGGGCAGTGGCGTATCATTTTATAGGGGCTGATTGCAACTAAAATAACAAGTTTAATAATTATAATTGTAAATTTTATTTTCCGCAGATAAACTAGNAAACACTGCTAGTTTATAAATATTAAAATATATTTTATATTATACTAAAAGTTTTACCTAGGCATAAAGTCGTAAGTAAGCCAACTACAAAAATTAACAAAATTTTCATATCAGACATCATCACATGTACTTTAAGGTACTTCAACGGTCGTAACAGATTAAAACACATTTAAAATTAAAAGAACATCATGTATGATAAACTAATCGGTTAACCAGTAAACAACTCAAAAGACAAATGATATAAATGTCATAAAACGCTTAGAACTCTTAAACTGAGGTTTATGATAAAACGGGATTTGATTAAACACCACAGTCGGAGGTTACCATATAGTTCAAATTCCTTTGTAAGAAAGATTAATCAGTTTTAGGTGGGGATGGCTATCCGAAATTGTAACTGATCCGTTGGAATAGGTATTTGTGCTGTGGACTATGTAACTGATTCGAGTGATCAACCGGAACAGGTCCGTGTTATGCTAAAGTCTGGGACTGTACTCGGACTCGAAACTCGAACTCTAAAATATTGTAGTTTGAGAATTTTAAAAAGCGATTCCAATTTACATTGAAGGACCTTGTACCTTAGCGCAGCTCATATTAGAAAAATATTAATTATTATTTATTTATTTAGAACATACCCTCCAAAAGTTTAACAAAACCAATTATAGGGTGGAAAAGTACACAGCTTACTGGCAGATTGTTAACGTCGAAGTATAACGATTAAGGCAAACATGCCTTAATCAATTGTTGCTCCTTTTCGTTCTACAGGGTGTTAAAGTTGAAAAAATATTTTCTTTTTTTATCTATATTTTAAGTATGTATGGACCGATTGTTTTGAAAATTTGTAGTTTTACGTTTTTTGAGGAGGCAAATAAGAATATGCAAACAATGTTGGGGTCACGTCTAGAGGGCGCTAGTTATACTGTCCTATCAATGTAAAAATCTGTATAACTTTTTGTATTTTACAATTTTGAATTTTTTAACTGCAAATTATTGACCCCCGTTCAATTCTAAATAAAAAAGGTGTACTAGTTACAAATCGATAAACTAAACCTTTTTCGAGATACAAACCTTTTAAGTTTTTGAGATTCGGCGGGAATTCAATTAGAAAATTAGCAGGTCTTAAGATACCAAGCCTGAATTAAGAATTAAGACAAACATTACAGCAATTGCAGATTTTATTATGCATATCTTAACAAATTATTAACTACCAGCGACTTCAATGCACTTTCTTGGCCTTTTATTTTTTTGTCTAATGTTAAATAAAGTTCTATGTTGTTTAATAATATGAACTGATTCTTGAATGTTTGTCCACAGTTGTTCATGGCCATTAATAATGTTTTTGTAAACTAAAGATTTAAGATATCCCCAGAAGTAAAAATCCAGCGGATTTAAAACAGGACTACGTGCAGGCCAAGGTACTTCTCTACCGCGTCCAATCCAACAGTGCGGAAAAGATATCTATTAAGATTAAGATATTCACTTCTCTTAAAAATAACGACAAGGAAAAAACTACTTTCTAATCAAATTGAGTAGAAGATAATATGGTATTGTAGTGACAACTGTCAATTTATTGTGTCCATGCCTACTACTTTAGAAAAAATAATTTTCTAATTTAATTCTCGTCGAACCACAAAAACTTAAAATGTCTGTATCTCGAAAACAGTTGAGTTTATCGATTTGTAA